TTCACACTATGCTTCAAAATGAAAGTTTATATGACTTGTGATCGACATGTCATTAGCCAATACACAACTAGTTTCGCAGTCAGACTCGCCCCTCCTTGTCACATTCAAATGTTTGTTAACCAAAAGCTGAAAACAGTAAATTCAAACCTTCAAACGGGGCTCCAACTTGTATACCGTCTATCGAAAACACACTTATCCCAAGCCCCAGTTTGATTTAACTGGTCATTCTGGGGCAATGTGTTTATGTAAATAACCAGTACTTAATGTTTTCTATTGCTTTCCATTGTATTACTAACAAAAATCTTAGAAAAACAGGTGCTTTCAACTTTTTCAACTCAGAAAGTGAGCTCATAGTTGGATTTGACTTTCCCCTCAAAAATTAAATGCAACAATGAACCTGCACAGCCATGATACAACCCTGGCCGTTGGTCACATATTCTGTAGCATAAAATTGTCTTTCTTTTGGCTAATATTACCAGACAATGCAGATGCAGACAAATTGCTCGTCACTGGCAATATGCTATCTGAAGCCATATCAGTATTTGAGTCGTGAAGTTTATGTTGGAGTCTGTTGGTAATTAGTGGGATATTATTGGCTAGAGCCAAACAAGTTTATAAATAATCATTATACCATTTAGGAGCAGTGTATCCTATGGGGGAGTGACCCTGTTTAGCTTGAACCTTTACTTTTAGAACTGTGTAAACTTAACACACACAAAAAAAGCTACAGAATGAGAAAAATCCCAAAAGCATAATATGGGTGCTTTAAACTAAAGGTGCTATGTAATGGAAGGAAATTCAAATTAATTGTATATATAAATAAATATATATGTTTTTTAAGCTGAGTTGGCATTAAAAATAAGCCAATAATAACCTTACAGAAAAACCTAATTTTAAGGCAAGAATACAAAAATATTCTTGCATGAAACTTTTTGTTTCCATTATCATACTTAACATGTGGACAAGTTACAATACAACGATCTGCAGACAATTTGCAGCACTCACGATGTGCAGAAGTGTATGTTAATGTATGAAAATCCCCAGTCAAATTTTGGGAACTCCTTTATGAATGTACACCAATAAAAAAAACCAAACAAAAAACAATTTAATCATTAAATACAAAATACTCCAGCCAGTGATTTGTGCTATAGTTTCAAATGCTGGTCTGTAGAGTCAATGCCTGTGTACTGTTGCATTCTTCAAACTCATAATAGTGTTCACATTTCGAGAGTGTTCCTACGTACACCTTAACACTGTACTCAAAGAATTTCAGCAGCAGGACACTTCAGAGCAACTGATACACAAAAAACAACATAACACACACAAAGAAGTTGGTGAAAACTGAGCAGAGCTACAGCAAAGAGAGAAAGAGGCTGGAATGGAAGTTTGACTCAGTTGTTCTCGAACAGAGAAAGCAGATCATCACTGCTGTTGTTGGGAAGGTCCGGAGGGCCCAGATAGGACAGCAGCTCATCTGGGTTGGTCAGCTCAGGAAGAAGCTTGATGACAGATAATTAAGGGAAAAAAATAGACACTTAAAATGTTTTTAAAATTAAATAAACACTGAAAGTTTGAGATACAGCAATCTTATTAAAACTGTATTCAAATCTTTATATACACAAACAAGAACTAAACTTCTTGTTTACCCCACTCTTTCTGTGGATCATGTTCATATTT